GGAAGCGTGGCCTCCGGGGAACGGGAAGCCTGGCCCTACAGGCAGGCGGGGAGCGCTGCATGCTGGGAAATGTAGTCAGTGCGCTCCTCCCCCGCCATGGGCAGAACCCAGGACAGCCCCGCCCCCGCCCGGCACGGGACTGCGCCGGCGCAATACAGCAACTCCCCCACCCCCGCCCCGGTGCGCTCGGGGGTCAGGCCCCGCCCCAAGCCCGTAGGGGGCGGGGCCAGGCCGATCCCTCCGCGCAGAGCCTGCCCTGGACCAAGGGGCGCTCTTAGCCCGAGTCTCGTGGCGGGGGGGTGGCTAGAGCAGCCTCCAAAGCGCTTAGTGCTGAGAACAGCAGGCTGACCCTGAGCGGGGAGATACAGTCAAGCCCAGGGATCTTGGTTTTCTGTGATTAAAAAAAAAAAAAATCCCCAATTTTCAGATTTAAAAAACTAACCCCAAATCCACATTTTTCTGTGATTAAAATGAAACACCACTAATCTAGAAATGGATATATAGTGCTGCTTCATTTTAATAATGGAAAATGTGGATTTTAGGGGGATGTTTTAAATCTAAAAATTGGGGAATTTTTTTTAGCAGAGAAAACTAGGATTCCTAACATTACCCACTTTCCTGGTAGAACCACATCTCAACCACCCCTGCCTGGTTCTGGGCCCAATGCATTCCAGTTTCCTTATAGACCTCATATAGAGAATTCACAATGGCTTTAAGAGGGTCACCTTTTAGTTTTCTCCTCTCAAGCTGCCAAAAGTGTGTCTGAAAACTGTTCACAGTGGGAGTCATACTTAACCCTCATTTTACTGTTGGATTCCAACATTGCCTCTTTTTCTTTCATTCCCATGAACAAAGGGATGTCTTCTCCACTGGTCCTTGTCATAAACCAAGTGTGTGCACCTATTTAAAGTGCTGCTTTGCCCACAGTTCAGATAGGAATGCTTCTTATTAACAGGTTACCCATGCCTCCGGGGTGGTGTGCTGCTTTTCTTCATTTCACTTTGGAATATCTCTGCTGACCTGGGGAGCAGAGTAGTGTTGACATTTATTTCTGTCTAAGACATAGTTAGCTGGACAATGCTATCTCCGCATATGCTAAACACCTGAATTCTAGGTCATCTACTGTTATGCCCTTCAGCTCAAATAACATTATCAATGTTTGGTTTACGAGAATTAAATAAAGCACTGCTTATTTTATGCCCCCTTTCTTAGAGCAAATTTTGACTTTGAAACTGTTGCTTAATTTTCCAGAAGTTTTGATGGCACTGTAGGGGGATTAGTACTTTGATGTTATAATTTTGAAATTTGCTGACCTGAAATACTATGAGATGTTGCTGCTCTCCATCATGCTTTTCTCCAAAGCTTTGATCAAGCTAATAAAAACAGATATCTGTAATCTCCATTCTCAATTCCTCTTCCCTCTGAGTGTGACATGCAGCCTTGATTGGGTCTGGAGCTGCACTGTTCTTCATCCACTTAATCTCTAACACAAACTATGATCTGTAGACAAATTCCTTCATCATGACTTTTGCCAACATAGATGGTAGATTTATAGTCCTATAAATTATCTGATCAAACCTGCTTTCTTAATGATTGCTAAAACTACTTCCCTTAGCCAGTTATCTGGTACCTACTCTAGTTCACACACCTTTTTGAATATTTTTGTAAAGCTTTGTTGGCACCGGCGTCTCCAGGTTTCCTATTTCTCCACTATTCTGTGTCTGCTTTTTATGGTAGTTCAGAGTTGATAACCATTCTACTTTTCCAGTTGTGTTCATCTAGCATGTCTAGAATGCTTTCGTCTGGGTGAACTGCAAGGCTTAATTATTTGTTACATGCTCATTCCTTACTTTTTATGCTTCTTTAGCATTTGTTGTCAAGTCACCGTAGACTTTTCCTTTTTTTTTACCACTTATATAATTAGCCAATGGTGCTTCCATGCAGATTCACCTTTTTGTATTTTTTCTTTGGTAGTTTTCTTGATGCCTCCTGTAGTTGTTGAGCCTCCTGTTCCCAAAATGTTTGCTTGTCCAAGTTCTGTGGTTTCTTCCCTGATTTACATAAGGATTTCTCTTCTGCTTTCTCAGTAGTCTTAGCTCAGTTACCCCTTTCCTGTATTTTTTGTTTCATTGCTTGTACAGGCCTTCCTTGATTACATGAAGGCTGTCCAACTGGTGGCCTGTGAGGGGCTTAGAGTGTGGCCCCCACCTCCTGCCCAGCCGTCTTTCTCCACATCACACTAGCTGCAACAGGATACTTGCCAGTGGTAGTGCCATACAAACTTGAATGATTGAGTTCTGCTCAGTCAATAGAATTCAGAACTGATTTGGCTAATTTGGCCTGAAACATTAAATTAAAAAAAAAATGTCTGTGTCATATAGTCCAGGAGGCCTGTGGCTTTCTCTGGTGCAGCCTGCAGACATGCAGTCTCTGCTGATGCAACCTCCAAACCATGGAGCCCCTGGTCGCTTAGAGCAGGGGCACTCACAACCTTTGTGCCCCATGGGCCAGATGGGCATTAGAGATATTTCAACATCCCGTCTTAATGGCCTGAAACATCCTCAAAACATCACCCTGTGTGCCTCTTTCAATCATCTGTCCATTCGCTTCCCCTCAAATACCTCCCAGTTTTCCTCCAAGCTTTCCCAAATGCATGACAGAAACTCATCAAGATTCAGATTAACCACCCAATCCTCTTTCAAATCCCTCCTCAAAACCTACCTGTGCCAAAATAGATACCAGTTCTTCTTGGCAGTTAAAATCCTTTCATTTGATTCTTACCTCATCCTTCCAACCACCCCCATTTCATATGTCTGCGTTGCATCCTGTTTGAAATGCAGATTAACAGTTCTCTGAAAACAAGATTTTTTATTTGGATTTCTGGTGATGCATAGGGGATTCAATCCTTAATTGTGATCTCTAGTTGATTCTGTAATATAATCAGCAAAGAAATCTTGCATCAAAACTTTTAACAGATATTAAGATTGCCAAGGGATGCATGTTAGAAAATTGAGGAAGCAACTTCTTGTGCAATCCTGCTGCAGTCCCCTTCATGCATGTGCTGTGTATTTAAGTTCTGAACCATGCACTTCTTTATCCATAAGATCATTACCCTATCCAGTGCACAAAACAGAGCTTACTGAATAACCAGCTTTTCAATATTTTGTTTTATCATTTAAAAATCTGATAATTTTTAAACCCATGCTTTATTTGCACCGTTCAAACCTGTTCTGAGCAGAGAATTATTAATTTCCTCAGGGGATTTTCTGTGGTGCCCTCACCATAGGATCTGAGTACTACAAACATTCATTAGTGTCCCCTTGGAGATGATGGGGTATTATTATCCCATTTACAGATGTGGAATGGAGGCACATGAAGATTCAAACCAAAAATGTCTCCTAATTTTGAAATGCCTAAGCCCTGACTCTTTCAAGAGAGTTTATAATTTTAAAGCAGTGTTTGTTCAAATCATCGTTCTGGTTTCATTCATAACTGAATATTCATCACTTCCTCCATAGAGATCCCGAGGTTTCACACTAGGATCCCAGAAAATGCCTGTAAAACGAGGAAGAGTATTAAATGAAATGAAGTGACAATGTTTGTAGCTGAAGTGCAGTTTCACCCTGAGTGCTGCCTTGGTTGGGTACAATGCAGAGCATTGCTGGATTCTGGATGTGCTTAATTACATAGATTTCCATGTTAGTTTTGCTCCACATTCAAGAAAATAATACATTTTTTCCAACTTGCATGGCCCTGAGAAGTCACTGTGGCCCCTGGCACTTATATGACCTCTTTGCAACATCTGATGTTACCTATAGAAGCTTATCCCTCTCTGAGCCAGTCAGCATGTAAAGTGCCACCCTGCCCTGCTCCTTGCCTCCCCAGCCCAGGCAGCATCACCAGCAATACTTAAGAACACAAGACATTGGCTCACACCAATAGTCCATCTATCCCAGTACCCTGTCTCTGACAGGGGGAAAAATGGATGCTATAGAGGGAGAGCATTGGACCAGATATGGTGCTCAACCTCTGGTGGGCCAAATGCAGCCTGCAGAGCCATGGCATGCTGCTCATGGGGCTCCTCACAAGTCAAGAAATTTGGCAGCAGGAGAGCTATGGCAATTGATTTGTCCATCATCCTCTGTAGCTACATCCCCAAACCCTGTGTAGCAGCTGAGAGCCAGGTCATGGGGGTGAACCCCTCGGATCAAACCCTTCCTGACCTCTAGCATCTCCCCCTCAGCGCGCTGCTCCCCACACGGGAGAGTCCTGCGAGGGCATTGCCAGGCAGGTGAGGCCTTGGGGCCACGTCTATAGCTCTAATCAAGCCTGAGGCTCCCCCAGGCAGCAGGGGAGCCCAGGTAGGACGGCACTCGGACCCTGCTGCAGCTCCCCAGGAGCGCGTTCCGCCCCCACGTGGCGGGCCGGGACCGCTAGAACCGCCGAGGGGGCGTGTCCAATTCTGCGCAGGCGCAGCTGACGTCTGCGTTGCAACCCCTTCCCTCCAGCGTGCAGGCGCAGTTGGGACTAGTGACGGCAGCGCGGCTCCATGACGCTTCCGGCGAAACAATTTACGACGCTGTAAGGCGTGACGCGCTCGTGGTGTTGGTTGCTGTGGAGAGGTTGGTGCCGTCGCTGGGTCGCGTCCTGACAGGTTTGCGGCGAAGCAACGGAGGGGCGGTTTACCCAACCCGGGGCGGGGGGCGTGGCCGCTTGAGGCGGTTGCGGGGTGATGCGGGAGCGTGCAGTGTGACGTCATCCCCCTCAGATCGCCCCCTCCCGCGGGGCTGTGCCCTCGCATCTTGGCTCCCTGTGCCATGCGGGGCCGCCTGCCCACCCCCATGACTTCGTCCCCTGTCTGTTCTTTTCCCTGTTCCAGGCCAGGTCTTAGCCGGCTGGCTGCGTAGCAGGCAGCTTCTGCCCTCGCAAGGATGGAGGCCGAGCAGATGATGGAGGGGCAGCCTCAGGTATTGCTGGAAGTCTTTTTTGGGGAGTCCCCTGGGAGGGAGGCTGCGGTTCTGCTGACCACAGGCTATTTTTTTTTTCTTCCAGGTTCCAGAAAACCCCCACGCAGAGTACGGACTCACGGAAAACGTGGAGGTACATGAGGCTGAGTCTCTGCCCTTGGTCTGGGAAAACGCCCTTGAAGAGAATCCCCCGTCTGGCCCTGCCAGGCGCTGGGCATCCGTCGGAGGTGGCGGACAGTGCGTGTGGCATGCCACGTGTCAGTACTGGGCAAAGTGGGGTCCCTGATAGGATGTTATTGTTGTCTGTTGTGCCTTGTGAGTCCCTGGCAGAACTCCACACCCCAGGATCCTGCTGGGGTCGCTGCTCCTGCTCGCACTGCCCCTGACTGCCCGGCCCAGGCGTGGCAGGTGGTGCAGGTCTTCACGTAGGATCCTGCTTGTGGTCCATGTGTTATCCACTGAAGTCAACTATGTATCCACTAGGCGGTACGGGGGCAGGGAATGCCTAAATACTTGGGGTCTTAATGTTTTTATTCAAATGTTTTGAATTCAGAGAATCGTAGAAAATGAGAAGATTAACGCTGAGAAAACATCAAAGCAAAAAGTGGATCTTCAGGCATTACCTACGCGTGCCTATTTGGACCAAACAGTTGTGCCTATCTTACTACAGGGACTTGCTGTATTAGCAAAGGAGAGGTAAGATGCTTTAAATGGGCCTGCACTCCTACACAGAAGTCAATTGTAAATACAGGCATTCTTTTCCCATTAAGGGCCTGGAAATCAGAAAAGCCTTTTTAACCAGTTCATAAGAAGTATGCTGTAGGTAAAAAATAATATAGCTGTTTAGTCTGTTGAATGGGCAGAATTTATTCCTTGGTGTGCTACGTGTAGGGTGATAGGATCTAGTAGTCTGATATCTAGGGACCTACTTAGTTTGTGATTTCATGAAATCCAGCATTACCCACAAAATCAACAAAAAAAAACCTTAATAAAAAGCGGTCCTCACTGCCAGGAGGGGAAGGCACTGGCTGGGAGGGCAGCATGAAGGGCACCAGTCAAGATGGCGTCTGCTCCCTCTTCTCCCGCTAGGGCTTCTCCACATATCAGTGTCAAGGGGTATGGTGGCACAATGGGCAGCCAACAGTCAAGACGGCAGTCACCCCATCATCCTTTCTTCCTCACTCCCTCTGCCCTGAGGTCTCCTCCAGTCAGTGCTGAGGAACAGGGCTGCCATCAAATGGGGTCGCAACACCAAGGTTGGGATCCACTGTTGTAGACCGCAGTTAAAATATGTTAGATGCTTCCATGAACTGTGACAGTTTTTCTCTTAGCTGTTAGAAGCTGGATTCCCAGGATTTATGATCCATGTAAGTTTGACTGAAAAAATAAAATCTGCAGTACTTACCTAGTGAGACTTAACTGTTTGCATGTTACAGTGCTTTTTATCCAAGAATTTCAACTTCCTGTGTGTTGGTTAGAAATATTTGGCAGAAGATACTGAGATGGCATGAATGCAGACTTATCAAGAGAGGGTACTACATCTCTCTACTTCCAGTGTGATCTCCTTCCTTCCCTTCCAAAGCTTAGACTGACAGACTGTAGGTTTTGTCTCTTACCTTATTTAACCCTGAACTATAATATGCCAAAATATGGTTTCAGTGATAGAATGAGCGTTTTTCCATCTCCATTTCATAGGGAAGGTTGAATAAAAGTTTTTTCTAGTTTTTGTCTAGAGCTTACGTAAGAGCATGAAAACATTCTTAATTTAATGCTTTTATAATTAAATCTGTTTTGGTGAAGATGATTGTTGTTCAGGTATTTTTTCATATAATAAAAGGTTACTCTACTTTTTCTCTTCTTTTTTTCCCCCCTTACAGACCACCAAATCCGATTGAATTTCTAGCAGCATATCTTTTAAAAAACAAGGCACAGTTTGAGGACCGAAATTAATTCCATGGGAAGGGGAGAATATTTTGGCTGCTAGACTTACTTACTTATTTGCTAATTCACTCTGTTATAAAAATTCTACGGAAATGCAAATACTGTTTTTCGTAATCTCACAATTTCCCTTACCTTTTCCTGAGTTATTTAATAAAGTACATTTTACATTTCATTTGCTCATTTGTCTTACACTAGATATTACCTGACTTCAGAATAAAGTATTAAAACTGTACAGATGGATGAAAGCTTGAATAATTCTAATGGAATATTTCATCTGCATACATAAAACCAACGATAAGATGACAGTAATGCTAAGAAGCTTATTACAGTTGCAGTTTTGGTTTTATAGTATCTCTTTCTGGTTTCAGACGTTCTTGAAAATCCAAACACTTTGTTCTGGTAGTCTAGAACTCAGTATTCATTGGTTTAGTAAAGGCAGCAAATACCAAGAGCTATCTGCATAACATTACACATTAGAATTTGCTTTAAAGAAATGGATTTTTTTTTTAAGGCAGAAAAGATGACTTGCTACAATCAGACTACAGGCTTGCAACAGTGGACTGTGGGGCTTCCCGTGGATCCAGACCATAAGCGGTGGCAATATTAATCCCTACAGGTGCTGCAGCTGCAGCCGCAGCCATGGTGACTTCTCAGGGCCATACAAGTCAGAAAAAATGTATTATTTTCTTGAATGTGGAGCAAAACTAATATGGAAATCTATGTAATGCAGCACATTCAGAAGCCAGCAATGCTCTGCATTGTACCCAACCAAGGCAGCACTCAGGTACATGGCATGGCTCTGGAACCCAGAGAGTTAATGTTGCTGCTGCTCACTCCACCTTTTCTCTGCTGCTGATCATGATCATAATTTCCAGTGAAGACTAAACCCCACCCCATTTCAGCAGTAGATGTATACATATACTGATACATGTTTCTCTAAAAGTCCCTAATGAAGATGTTACAACTTTAGTTCCACAATTGAACAAAAATTTTGCTAATGTGTACATTAAATCTCTGTGAACTAAGAAAAGCTTAATTTGCATATTTCACATCATTAGCTATGAAGAAAAAATCACCACCACCCACTTTATAACAACCTTTTAGGTACTGGAAGGCTTAAGACATTCTTCATCTACAGTTCTCTAGACCAAATAAAGTCAGTTTCTTCAACCTGTTCTCTGCCCCTCCCCAGGCTCCAGATGAGATATGCAAGGTCTTGAACTGTGTGTGAAGACCCAATTTCATGTGTGTATTATCCTCTGGTGAATCCTTCCCCAGTTCACAGCTACGAAGTATTTACAAAAGAATGAAGTATTTGGAAAAATACTGTGCAAAGATCATTTAAGGTATTGGCTCTTTGAACTGGAATAAATCACAAACATTGAAATTTAAGGGGAGAAAATAGTAATGAGGAAAACCTGAAGGACTGTAGTTTGCAGAGAAACGCAGCTAATTCTCACCAGAGAGGATGTATGTAGCAACTATACATTCTGTCTGTATGAGAGTGAGTTCTTGGATATCAGCAGTAAAATGTTCTCATCCTGCAATGTTTCTTAAGGGTTTTTTCTTGTCCTGCCTGAGGAGGGCTCTGTTTCAGAGACAGAGATATTCTGATAGTGGTGGTCACAACCCACATGAGATTAGGAAACCTAATTTCAAAGCTTCTATGTAAATCAAGCAGAGCAGAGACTTGGAGATGGGTCTCCCATCTTCTAGAACAGTGCTTCTCAAACTATCTGATGTGGCAGACCGGCAATTTTTTTTCCAGTGGGCCAAGGACTGGTGCCCGGTTCAGCTGGTGGCAGCAACTGCGTGTAACAGCACTACACAAATGCACAACTGGCTGTTTGATTCTCTTTCCCCACCTCGCACAATGTGACATCACCTGGGGTGTTGGAACGTACAAACTGTGGCGCTATGACATATTAATGTTATTCTTCTGAAAATATATTTCTTTCCTGGCAACTTGCTGCAGACCAGCGACCTGTGGCTCGCAGACCGGCACCGGTCTGTGGACCACCACTTTGAGAAGCACTGTTCTAGAAGAATGCTTTCATCACTTTATTTGCTCCTAGTGCATCTTTGTTCTGAATTGCTCAACACTTAAAAGCTAGAAGTTATTTAAACCACTGAATTTTTAAATAACTATTGTATTAAAGCAAAAGAAAGACCAAACTCTACTGGGAGAAATCAAAGCTCAAATAGCACTTCTTAATTTATTCGGCTTTTTTAGTATGTCTTGTAAACAAGTGTGCAAGCCAGCAAGCTGGCCATAGATTTATACATTTACCGGGTAGTACAAGCTGGACAGGTCTTAGATGACATAGGCTTAGTTTGAAAAAATCATTAAAAATGTACTGCACAATCTGTCATTGGGATTTCACTGCTGTTAGAATCCCAGCATGGGAATTGCAAGCCTGAATGAGAGAGATGAACTGAATGTATTATTTCTTTCAGAATCCAGGTCCTCTCTTTCAACCCATTCTGATTTTGTCTTTTTGTGACTTCCAAAAAAGATATAGGAGGAGGAGTTTACACAGTGCAGCAGTAGTTTAACCTAAAGCAGAAGTAATCAATCATTTTACTGGAGCTTTCCAACTGAAACACTGTTTTGCATTTATTTCATCATACTTAAAAAACAAAAAAAACACTAAATTCCCTGTTTTCCCCACATTAATATTACCGCTACTCTTCCTGTGTTGCAGAGGAATTACCAACAGTTTTTCCAGTAGAAAGGGCAAGTGCTACTGGTGTAATAAATCTGAACCGGTGAGATTTGTATGGCTTTTTGAGCCTTCCTTTGTTCCTCAGGCCAATCCAAACTAATTTGCCTATTCCTGCATTGCTGCTTTCCTGCTGCATCTGTTCAGGATGGGGAACGTACTGGAAGTCCCAAAATGGAGACTACCCTACTATTACCCCTAAGAGAGATTGTTCCTTCTGCCCTATACCAGAAAGGCCTGGTTTCTGACTACTTGCCACTTTCTCCCTGTAGCCGAATCGGTGGTTCTACTACCAGAAATTGCTCCTTCCATTGCCTCTGTCACTTGCAAGCAATTTGTGTCACAAATCTCTGCAGGACCACATGCAGGAATTCTCTCCTGGTTTTCCCTGCAGATTTCTGCTTGATACTGGACTCAGCCACGAATCGCAGTACACGCTCTGGCCTTGCCAAATGGCATCCTCCACTTGGTTATTTAATGCCTGGATGACGTGCAGTCACCAGTCCACAGCCTTTTGCAGCTGTGTCCAACACTATTGCTATCATAGATGTTCCTAACGGAGCTGCCCCCACTTCCATTTTAGCAGTCACAACTGGAGCCCCATTTGATGGCTCAGTTCCCCTCATTGGTCTTGTCTCCTTTGGGGTCACAGGTTGTCAACCTGTGGCCAGTAGGGCACTAAAATCCATATTGGCCACATCTCTGCAGATAAGGTGAGGCCAGAAGCTTGGCTAATAGTAATAAAAAAGGTAGGAAAATGTATGACTTCCACAATTCACACAAATCCAACCAGGGTTTGCCCCACCTCTGATTCCAAGGAACCTAGTATTCTAGTCTCTCGGTTTTTCTCCGTATTTCCAGTTAAATCACTTAAATTTAACAAGCTGCTGATGAGGCCTCACAAGTTTTATTTTTTATTGTCTGACATTCTCTCATTTTTAAAAAGCTAGTTAAGTTTAGGCTCATTATTTGGAAGGTGATCACTTGAGATCATTCCGTTAAAAAAGCCAAGCTGAAAGAACACTGTTACTGTTGCAAAGTCAAGTTCTTAAAAATTAGGAAATGTCAGAATCAAGGTTGCCCCAGGAGCCTTAATTCTGCAGCATTACTATAGGTTATGAGGCCTTACCACATCATATGCTATTTCAGTAGAATCTTCCCCATTCACTTCACAGACAGGATTTAAAATGAAACCCCTGTGTAAATATTTGCAGGACTGGGGATTATGGGGCCACTACACAGGATTTTCTGGATTCACTACACAGAAGAATCATTATTACCATGACTGCCTGTCACATAGAGAAAGCCAACCTAGCTTTAAACTTGCTATCTTGTGTGCTGCTAGCACTGCAGCCGCAGCAGCACTGAGCAGGCTAGATGCCTTACTGCCTAAATATCCAGTTTCTTGAGTGGGTTTTACAGTCCGTGCTGATTTGTATGCTGACGCAGGTAGACTACTAGTGGAACTGCAGCTGGCTAGTTTTAAAACAAGCTCTGATATGTCTACTCCAGTGGTTTTCAACCTGTGTAGACTCAAGGCACCCCTTGGAAAATGCTAGCGCTTATTTGTCATTTGTTGTTTAACTACAGAAGTATAATATATCAATTCTTTTGTTGCAAACAACTTGGAAAGATCCCAGCAGGTCAAATCATTTTGACACTGGATTTCTCAATGGACTCTCGAGGATTATTTGTGAATCATGTAGATGTTTGCACACTGAACAGTGTTTTTACACAGCACTGTTAAAAGAATCTCATAGTACCCTGCCAGAGAAGCACTGGTGTACACTATGCTGAAGTCACAGTGACTGAATTTGTAAATATATGTCTGTATTCACAGCCTCAGCTGTAGAAGCCACCTGTAGGGCACTTTATATGCCAGATACCCAAGATCCATTCAGATACTTGCCAGGGGTAGATCTTTCTCTGTATGTGAGCAATAGCATTTTGTTCTGCTAAGATAAGAGACTAAACAAATCCTGTTGGATATATTCCTAGAGTTATCTGTGGACACATTCCCAGAAAGAAAGTCTAAGTATGAGCTTTAGATATTGTACAATGCTTTCAGAACATATTCCTTGATTGTTTCCTAAAATCCAAATATTTTAGTATTCTCACTGCAGAATGTTCCAGTCCTCTCATACCTCTGTAGCCATTCAAAGGTATTTTATGACAGCTTGTATTTTTTGTTTTTAATTT